TAAAGATATTGTTCTACAAATGTTCAAGAGAATGCTGGGGAAACTACAATGGTAATCACTGGGGAGACGGAGCCTCAGCAAGGTTTCCACACATGAGCCCGGCCCCTGGAAAATCTCTGACAAGAAAGGTGCTTGTATTTGTATTGTACCAACTTGGAATAGTTCTAGCCACAGGACTGCCTGGGGATCCCAAAAGAGCAAAGCTTGGCCTTCAGCACATGTGGTCCCAACGCCACAGTCTTGTGCTTTCTGCTGATAAAGTGAAAAGGCCGAGACTATGGCTCCTGGAGTCATATGACCTGTGTGGGAATCCAGGCATGGCCCCTCTAGCCCAGTGGCCAACAAAGTCACCGAAGTTCACCAGGCTCCACTGTCCCTGTTTATACAGGAGATGACACTACCTACCTTCTCTAGGGCTTTTATAAAGAGGGAACGGCTCTCTTTAGACACACACACGCACACACACACACACACACACACACACACACACACACACACGGAGAGAGAGAGCACTGGCATTGTGCAACATGGTGAATGCTGTATGTGTTAACAATAATTATCAATACTGCTCTCTTGTTCCTGGGCTATATTATGAAAAAAGGAGTAATAGCACTATTAATAGTAATAGTTACTACTACATGATCAGGGATTTTTTTTTTTTGTAACCCAGTCAAGAAGGATTGGCGTCCTTGCGACTTTGTGAGCCCTATCTGCTTATGAGGCTGACTGACGCCGAGTAGCATCATGACTTAATGGAAATGACAACAATTCAATGTCCTTCTGAGGCAGCCATGGCATTTGATCACTCTGGAAACCCTGAGATACTGATGGCCTTGTGTGGAGAGTAGTTTTTTATACATCATGGCTGTTTTGTTTGTTTATTTGTTTTGGAGGGGGGTTGAAATGGTTACTATGCTGTGTATGTCTCCAACGTGGCGCCAGAGGTGAGGTCAGTCTTAAGGGGATTGTGTGCTGTAAAATTCCATACAACAGGAGCACAGTATAACTTTTTTTTTTTCAGTAGCATATTTTGCAAGTCTAATTTACCAGACAGTCAGGTTTTCTGGCTGACCTCTTTTTTATTTTATATCCCCTTGGGCAACATGAGAAATGAAAGCCTAGAGTTCTCTCTCTCTCTCTCTCTCTCTCTCTCTCTCTCTCTCTCTCTCTTTCACTTCCTCCCTCCCTTTCTCTCTCTTCCCTTCCCCTCTCTCTCTTACAAACACACACCTCTCTCTGTCTGCCTGTCTTACACACACACACACACACACACACACACTCAGGATGAGGAGGGGAGAAAGAGGCAGTTTTCATGAACTCTATTAGTACCGTCTCCCTACAGTAGCCAGGAGCCCCCTCTTTCACATCTTAAGAACCCAGGTCTTTCCAAATGCAGGTCTAGGCCATCCAACATCTGACCTAGCTTTCAACCTAAAGCCTCAGAGATGCACATTTCAGAATCTTGCATAGATATGTAGACTGTCTGTTTAGATAGGGATGACTTCTTCTCACTACTAAAATGGCTCAATTATTTTGATCCATAAACATCAAGTCTCCATTTCATCCTCAAATATAAAAGTTTTTTATATTTTTTGTAGATGGTTTTTATATACCATCTACAGTTTGAAACAAAGATTCAATGGATATAAATGATTTATGGTTGCACCACTGTTTCATGGCTTAGCCACTGCTTTCCTTCAGCAGTGAGAGTCCAGGCTGCGGAGAGCTGGGTCCTTTAGGAACTATGTTGAACAGAGAAGGAAGGAGACCAGAGAAAGAGAGGGGGCAGCTTTGGTTTTCCTCTCCTCTTGTTTAGGTTCTGATGGAGTACACCAGAGAGGGGCACTCTCATGGTACGTCTGTGGAGACGGCAAAGCTGTGTGTCTTTGTTCCCCAGAAACATATATGGTGCCAGGGCCTTGGATGTCCATGACCAAGAATCTACATGCCTCTTAAACCCACTGTGTTTATTTTGTCTCAACGTGTCCACCACCTGCTGGCTCACACAGGTCTGTCATTGGGCTACCTGGCAGCACCACCGGCCACCTCACACCAGCTCCCTGTGAGGAGGTGGCATCTTGGCGGTTTCTCCTCTGCGCTCTATTTGATAGGGGCACAGCACATCACCCCATGGTCTGGCTCCGGCTCCACTAGTCTGAAGCTAATGAGCTAATGTAAAACAAGCTGCTTCCCAAGTGAGACTGGGAAGCGCCTAGTTCCAAGCTCTAGGCTCTCACATTTCAGCCAGTGGGAGAGCTCTGGGAAACCACCTGGGTTCAGAAGCAATTGCCCTTTTCCTTCCCAGGAAGAAGCAGAGTCTCCAAGAAGGGAATAATGGGTATTCCTTCTACAGAGGTCTTCAAGGGACTACACACTAGGGAAATGACTGGGTCTACATGCAAATTTACATGCAGAAGTACATTAGTGGGTGTATGAGCATGTGGACACACACACACACACACATACACACACACACACACACTTTCTGCACAGTGCCCTGAGGAATCCTGATGTATCGTAATGCATCTTCCAGGAATCTATCTTAGCTGATTTGGAGCCACCACAGAATCTCTAGGGAATAGAATATCAGAAGACCCACAGGTCAAAAGGCATCCAGAAACTTTAGGGCTTGCTCTCTGAATAACTGAATTTTTCAAATAGTTTAAGATTGCCCCATTTAAGCACAAAACTATTTTGTTGTTGTTCTTTTTTTCAAAATGATATTTCAATGAGTTTGAATATAGAAAGTCATAAACCTATTATATGTGTTCAATTCTATTCCAGTAATTTAGCCTCATTGCTGCAGCGCAAGGCCACCATCATAAACATCAGGGGCTGTGCTAGGCTAGAAATTATGACCAAAGGCTGCAAAGACACCACCGCCCTCTCCACCCCAGTGACAACTAAAGTGGATGAAAACAACAAAAAACGGGGCTTCCCATAAAGGGTCCAGAAGTAGAAGCCAGAGGGCAGCCAGAGAGTCAAAGGGAAAACACACAGTGGGCTTCATACAGGGCAGGTTTTGCGGAAATGGTCCTCTGCGGACCTTGATTCCATGGCTGGCTGGGCTTTCAGGCCAGCATCACTGTTATACTGGTAAAAATCTCAAATCCAAACGGTCATCATAGTTGCTGGGACATCGTCCATGTTCCTTCTTGTCTAATTCCATGTTTCTCATATATGTTTTGAACTAGCTACTCAGAATCCAAATGAATAATGGCCAATGCCTCCTTCTGATGATCTGTCCAGCCATGGAGGGGTTTAATCTTCTTATTAGGGTTCTGGGTCTCTTTGTTTTCTGATTTATTTGGGATTTGGGTAGAGTAAAGAATAAAAGAAATAACCAACTACAAATCTGACATTCAATTTAGCATTTTTCTCTATAAGGTGGAGGAAGAAGGAGCTAGAAATAATACCAGACAGGGCAAGGGCACAGTCCAGAGGAGCTGCATGACTCACCTCTGCTGAAGGCCACAGTAGAGCTGAGAGCACAGACACAGACGTGCCCTGTTCCGAGGCTGCGTTGGCTCTGCACTGTCTACGAGGCAGGAGCTGAGCAGAGTGTGTGCTTGGAACACATGTGAAGACTCAAACACCCATTCTAACAAAAGGGCCCATCTAGCAGATGAGACAAAGCTCTGCCTGCCCACTCCGCAGCTAGTTCCTCAAGAGCTGTTTATACATTCTCATGAACTCACAGACAGCAGCACGTCCAAGTACAGTAATTTCCCACTTTCATAATGAATGTGAGGAAAAATCCTCATCTTGATTATCCAGTTTTCCAAATAATTAAAACCCAGGAAAATGAGATCTTTGCATCCAGATATCAACTGCTTTCTTTCTACAAGTAAACTCACCTGTGAATCACACTGCTAAACCCTAAAGGAGGGATCTATTCTTAATCTCCTCTGTCTCTCTGTTCGGTCTCTACTGTGCCTAGAGGTCAACTTCTCCTGGTACTTTCTTACCAAAACACCTTATCCTAGGTACATGCAATAAGCCCACCAAGCATCTGTTATTGGGAGCTGACAGTTTAGCTTAGTGGGAGAGTACTTGCCCAACATACACAAGGCACTGAGTCTGATTCCCGACGAAATCAGTTAACACAAACTGAATTGAAATGCCTGTCCCTACAATGCTGCTACTCCGAATGACCCCTCACCTTGGTTTAATACACTTTAAGATGGTTTTGGAAGCCTGTGTGAGCACCAGATCCTTGCGGGGAGTTCCCGGGCTCTGCCCTCTACACCTACATGTGCTGTTCACATGACATGATGTCATTTAACTGGGAGTTTGCACATCTGCCTTCCCCACCAGATGCCAAGCTCGAACGAACAGCTTCATAGTGCATACAGATTACCTGGGGACCTCCTTAAAATGGGCCGGGTCGGGAAGGAGCGTCTGCATGTACCTCCTAGCTCACTCGAGCCTCGGCCCCACACACTTTGCCTGAGTCACCAGACTCAGAGTAGGTATCTGAAATCTCAGGGGCCCTGTCCCTCGTCTATGTTTCAATCAGCTGCCCAGCCACTCCACTGACAAGATGAGAGGGCAGACGTCGGGAAGGTTGGCAGAATGAGGAACAGCACACGCACACGTGGGCTAGATGGCAGTACACCGGGGGAGCAGCTTGTCAGAGGGAAAGCAAGCAGTGAGGGGAGAGACAAGACTTAGAGTGAATGAGTGAATAGGAGATGAGAAAGAATGGCAGAGGCAGAGAGGAAAAAGATGAGGAAAAGATGAAAGAGATGCAAAGGAGACGGGGGAGAGCCCTGGTTAGCTGCCCTGTGGACGAAAGTCTCCCGAGATGGGTACTCTAGTCCTTATATCATTGAGGGAGGATACGTAGTATTGGTGCTCCCTTCTATGTCTCTTCCTGGCCGACAATGAGGGACCAGCTATTTCAGTAAGACTAAATGACAGTGTGGGACTCGTGCCACAGGTGTGCAGAAGACAATCCTGGCAGCAGACAGCCACCATGCAACCCCAACAAAGGTTACCTGATACAGTTCGATCCGCTGCTCAGCCACTCTGGCCTTGGGGTTCTGCAAACGAAAGACCCTGAATTCTGCCTTCACCAGATTAGAAGCATTCTTCTCCATTGTCGAGACATCAAAGCGGACAATTCTGAAGTAGGGTTTGTAGAAAGTGGGCGGGATGACATCTGTAAAATGTTAGGGCAACGGTTGAGAAAGACGAAACCCATCGTGCTCTCAAGAAAGACCACAGTGTGAGATAGTCCCAGGGAGCCATGTGGGAAATGTCTACGGAGTTTCATTTCCAATGGCCAATTTAATACCATTAACAATTTAACCAGGAACAAAACGAAAATCAACATGTGTGTTTAGTTCCAGAGAAGCCGATTAAGAACGATTAACAAATCATTTCCAACCACGTCTGAAAGCAAGCAGTTAACCCTGTCTTTTGAAGGCTGACGGACCAGTGGAAAGCCCTAGATGGTTAGGGACTAGAACAAGTTCGTGACAGTTGATGGCTGGAGAGAGCTGCCGGGCTTGCATACACTTTAATCAGATATGCCAAGAAAATGGCTCCTAAATAGCAAGCCTTCTGCCCATGTGTTTTTTTTCCTTGAAAGTTTGGCTCCAAACACTCCACTCCCATTCAGCCTCATGGACTGAGTCGTTTCTGACTTTCAAAGCTTGAGTTTTCACGCATATGACCAAGTTATGATAAGGAAATCTGAAAAGTAAAAATAGACCCACAAACTACCCACACCTGGTCCAGCCCTCAAATTCTGAGGTGGGGGGGGGGTGTAACAATCTGCAGGTAGGTGGAAGGTGATCATTGCTATGAAGGAAGAAGAAAGCATCAATTCCTTTATTTTAGAGCCTTGTGGAAGACAACATTTGTGGTTGTACACAGCAGTTTCGAGATCATTGCTTAGAATTCTGCTATTGTTGCTTTTGAATATGAAAGTGACGTTACCCTAAGACCCAAGCAGGTTGTCCTGCCTCTCTGATGTCACCGCCGACAGTGATTGAACACCAACACTGGGACAAGAGGCCACTGGCTTTTGGGTATGCTTCTATAACCTTCCAAAATTTCCCTGTGAATTCACCTTCCAGTTCCACAGTATCCCATCTAATCTAGAAGCGCTACTTCATTTTGCCCTTTGTATACTCACAAGGACTCCTTACAATGTAATCATTCACACGTATTATTTCTCTTTGAATATGCTGACTGTTTCAGCCTTGTGTTTGTTTATTTTGCTTTCCCCTGTGAAATTTTAAAAATCTGGAAGGTAGAGATTACCTGTAAGGAATCCCCCTCTCAAATGCTACATATTCAGGGCAGGGTTCTAAATGCAAGGAGTTCCCCAGAGATCTGTTTGCATAGTTGATCATCAATGGGGCCTTGAATGAGTCAGGTATCAGGCTATTGGCAACACTAACTTATTAAAGAAGTCTCCGTGCCAATCTTGAAGCAGATATAAATATGTCTCATCAGTCTGTGACAATTGTACTGGAGCCCGGGGGCTGCTGGAAACAAACCCAAGTTCCTCATCTTTAGGGCGTCTGCAGTTTTCGCCCCAGAGGTGCCTTTTCTTATCTCTCCCCATGTCCTTGAGACTGTGAATTCAGGCTCATGAATTCCAAGTCCCTATGAATTCAGGCTTTGTAGCTGGCAAACCAGAACTCTCAGAAACAAACAAACAAACAGCCCCACCAATCCAAAATAAGCAGACTTTGGAGAAATGAAGGCATTCACTGAGATACTGCGATAGCCCTCTGGAAGAGATGGCGGGGAGCCTGCAGAGCAGCAGCAGTCTTCGGAGTCCTCTAGCATAGCAATTCTGTAAGGTAGCTGCTGAGACAACATCACCTTTTTCTTTGCTTGGAATATAACCATCCCAGCAATCATGACTCCCAGCCCTCTGCTAAGCATCCCAGCTGAAAACAGCTCCCTTGCCCTGGCAGAGCCTGCCAGGCAGAGCTCAGGCCAGGCTCCCTGGCTTTCCACACCACCTTGGCCAGAACCTTCCACAGGAGGCATGGCCACATTCATCTTCGCTTATCCTCTATGTTAGACAGCAGAGGCTTCAAACATCCTTTGAAAGCACATCCTGGAAGGGCAAGACCAGTTTTGTGTGTTTCCTGCCATTAGCCAGTGTAAACATCTTCTCTTCTCCCCTCTTCTTGCCGTGGAGCCCCTCCGCACCCATTCGACTTCCACAAAGCAGCCACCTTTCACACCCCTCTGCCACAATCCTCTCCTTCATCAAGTTTGTAAATAAGTGCTTTTCAGATTTATTTTTATTCTCTTTTGTGTTTATTAAACTTTGAACAATTTTTCCCCCTTTCTGGTCTTCTGCCCATATACACGCGCTTCCTTTTTATGACTGCCTCAGCCCGTGAGGTCAATTTTGTTTCTACTTCTTCTAAGCAATCTCCAAATGATCCTGTCCCAGGCTTTTGAGCTCCGACGGGGTTCGGCAAATATTTACAAGAGTCGCTTGATGGCTAAGTGCGGTCCCTCGACTGTGTTCCCTCCATCCCAGGCAAAGCCGTCCTTTCTGCTGGCTCACAGGATCATTTAGACAGTTTATATTTCAACTGGCTGATAATGCTAACCTGCACTGAGGTTCCTGATTCGTAAATAAAAGTAGTTTAACGTGCAAGGCGGAAGGCTAGCTGAGCACCTCCAACCGGCATCTCTGGTCAGGTCTTGGAACCAAGAGAAGCAACCAGGCCTGGAGGAGAAAGTGATCAAAGAACTCAATAAAAGCTGCTGACCCAAGAAGCACCGCTTTTAAGGGAGCATCCCAGTTGTTCCTACTGGTCACAAGCCCCCTGTGCTGGATGAGGGACTTGAGCAGTTTGCCAAAATGTCCTCTCATTTGGGGGAAATATTGCTGTAAAATTGCTCCACCAACCAGAACCCAGAACAAGGCAAGCTCACTCCTTCAGCTCAGGGTGCCAGAGCAGCGGGGTAGAGGTCTAATGGCTTGAGCAGTCCAGATCCGTCCGCTTAGCTTTGGAGGAGGAATGAACTGTTTCCTCTGCCTCCCCGCTCTGGGATGGGTTCAAGCTATGACCCTCTGGTAACTCCAACCCCAGTTTCCATTCTCTCACCAGGTGCCAGGTCCTCTTGCTTGGCCGGCCCCAGCTTACCCACACTGACAGCCCGGCCTACTTCTCCCTCTCCATTTCTGACCCACTTTTTCGACTCAGGCAAACTGATTTTCCTCCAACCGTTTGGCTTTCACACCAGCCGCTGACTCTGTTGATTTCCCATGTGCCTTGCACTCAGAGGAAACCGTGTGCTTCGAAGAGTCCATGTGTCATGGATTGAGCAATCTCCCCCTCACCTTGCTCTGGCTATACATCTTTGCTAAGCCAAATTTGGGGAATTGGAGAGCTGGAGGACGGGGATTTAACTGTTCAAAAATTTTTGCAAAGTACATACAGAAAGCTAAACATAGCATTTAATCACATACTACTTCATAAATACCACAGACTGACTTCAGTTTGTTCCAAATAACTAATTTATTATGTATATTGTATTCTCTCTCTATAAGCACCTTCTCAGGTATCTTTTATTTACAGTTATTTATTTCTTCCTAGCCCAGAGCTGTTTGAGCTGGTGACCAGAGCATACACACAGGGTCCCTGTGCTTGGAAAGGTACCACACTCCAGCTGAATGCTCTACAGTGGCATCTTGAAATCCTTAACATTTTAATTCATGTTTTGTGAGAAAAGTCCTACCTGACAATGGGGTTTGAGGCTTGGAACCTCAGCTCATGCACTGACGTCCTCCCAGAATTCCCTACCTCTGCCCTTAGCTCTATGGTAGCCCCATCCTCATTCAATGTCCTTAGATCACCTAGTGAGCACTGTTAGACTCTACACCTGGAAGGGGCTGGGTGCAGAACCAAAGTCATTCCATGGCAGCAGCTCTCACATCCCTTGCTGGCAGTGCCACGGCGCAATGAGAGGGACATTCAGCAGGAACAACCTCCAGCCCGCTCTAGGTACCAAGCCCAGGCCACTGTGGAGTTTACCATTTCTTGGGATAGAGCAACAGATTTATGGGATGAATATGCTAGCTTGGTAGGGCATCAGTGGTGGGTAGGTAATATTTCTTTCCTTCTTTCCTTCCTGTCTGTGTTCTTTCTTCTTTCCTGGTGCTTTCTTTCCAGTGACACTAGTGATCAAACGCAGGGCCTCGTGCATGTTACATGATTGCTCCACAACTGAGCTATTTCCCAGCTGTTCTAGAATTTCCTGCAGCCCCTTTTTTTCTGACTATTTGTGCAAGAGACCCCATGGTTTTTCCTTTGAAAAAAGATCCTCTGCCTTGCATCCCTATCCCCGCTACAGCCACACAGAACAAGAAGCTCTTGGTGCAGGAAGACATCAATGGGGATCTCAGTTCTAATACCAAGTCAAGCAAAGCTTGGCTGAATGGGCAACAAAGACACGATCCGGCTTTTCTGAACTCGTCTCTTCATCTGTACAGCCAGGCAAAGAGATAGTGAATGGTGCTGCTAGGATTACACGAGCAAGCAGAAGGGAAGTTGGAGCCCTGGATCCTGCACAAATCTCTACCTAGGTCCCTTGCAAAGTTGCCAAGTGGCCATTGGGCCTTTGTAAATGCGCCCAGGAGGGAAGCTCTTGCTGCCTGACAGAATTCATTAAAGGCAAAGAGAAGGAACAAAAACAGCAGCATGCCCCAGGGCACTGTATAAAGGGCTCTGTGTCTTCTAATTCCTGTCCCCTTTACGAGGAGGAGCTAGTTACCAGAGTCTTCATGGTTCCCACCATCTTCCACTTGCGGTAGTGAAAGTCCTGACCACTCCAAAGGGTGACAAGACGATTCTGTCTTCCCACCCTCACCCAGAATGCTCAAATGACATCTCCAAAAATAAAAAATAAAAATAAAAAAGTAAATAAAAAAAAGTCAGGTGTAACAGCACTCGGTCATAATCTCGGCATTTGGAGGCTGAGGTGGGAAGACATGAGTGTGAAGCCAGCTAGACTACACAAGTACTATTCTAAACTAGCCAGGGATACATAGGAAGACAAAACAAAGCAAACAACAATAACAACAACCACAAAAATCCCACAAAGAAACCAAAGTGAAGAAAGGTCTTACACAGGTGTCCTGAAAAAGAACAAAGAAACAGAAATGGTAACAAATAC